TAAATAATAAGTCTGCGGGGGAACAAATACATGAGTATCAAGAGCTATTAAGAGGTGTTGCAAACGAAGTTCAATGAGGACTTTAAAGTCTCCTACCTTATTGATAAACTGCCTCAATCTTGGAATGACTTTGCTAGAACCTTAAGGCATAAACAAGGAGAACTTACTTTAGTTCGAGTCATAAATTCAATTAGGATCGAAGAGAAGCATAGGTCAAGCCAAAAGAAGGAAACCGAAAAGCAAACAACTGTGAACTTAGTTGAGAATGACACCCACAAAAATGGAAAAAAACAAAAACAAGTTCACCATAAATAATAAGAAGAATTACAAACCTAGAAGAACAAATTTTAAATTCAAATCACCCAACCAAAATAAGAACTTTCACAAGACTAAGGATCAAGGGAGAGAGAAAGGGGTTTGCTTTGTTTGCGGAAGAACTAATCATAAGGCTAAGGATTTCTTCTACAAGAAGACTAAGGCGAACAAGTATAAGTCAAATCATAATGTCCAAACGCCCAAGTAAATATGTTGATGGAGCAACAAATCTTCTCAAACACATTTTAAGTATGATTCCTTTGTCAATTTTACTTATGAAAATAAGGATTGGTGGGTAGATTCTGGAGCTAACGTACATGTCTGTTTTGATCGTGAATTTTTTAAAACCTATCAGAAATCAGGTGGAGGACGTGTAACTCTAGGAAATGACTCAATGTCACAAGTGCTTGGAATTGGAGACATAGAACTAAAGATGACATCTAGAAAGGTCTTAATTTTGAAGGACGTGCGACATGTACCTGATATTAGAAGAAATTTAATTAGTGGATCATGCTTAGTAAAGTAAGGCTATAAAGTTGTAATGGAATCAAATAAGGTTGTAATAACCAAGAATAATGTATTTATTGGAAAAGGTTTTATTAGTGAAGGATTATTTAAGCTAAGTGTTTCTTCCGAGTGCAATAATATTCCAAAAGTTCTTAACGTTGAATCTAGTAATGTTTGGCATGGACGGTTGGGACATGTACACTTGTTCAAAATTAAGAAAATGATGGATTTGGACCTAGTCCCAAAGTCAAACATGAATCTCAAGCATAAGTGTGAAATTTGTGTACAAACAAAACAACCCAAGAAACCTTTTAAGTTCGTGTAAAGGAATACCCAAATTTTAGAGCTTATACATAGTGATGTTTGTGACTCAAATAGATTACCTACTAGAGCCGGTAATAATTATTTTATCACATTTATAGATGATTGTTCGAAGTATTGTTATATTTATTTGATAAAGACCAATGATGAAGTATTCGGTAAATTCAAGATTTACAAGACAGAAGTAGAAAATCAATTGGAGAAAAGGACAAATAGACTTAGGTCTGATAGAGGTGGTGAGTACACTTTTACCGATATTAGTGTTTTTTGTGAAGAGCATGGTATTATACATGAAGTAACAGCACCCTATTCTCCACAATCAAATGGAGTTGCAAAGAGGAAGAATAGGACCTTATTGGACATGGTGAATGCAATGTTTTTGAATTCTAGATTACCAGAAAATTTGTGAGGGGGAGCAATTTTGACTGCATGTTTTATATTAAATAGAGTGATCATTAAAGACAACACTACTACTCCATATGAAATTTGGAGAAAGAGAACACCAAATATCCAAGTCTTGAAAGTGTGGGGATGTTTGACTAAACTTGCAATCCCAGAACCTAAGAGAAAAAAGATAGGATCTAAAACCGTGGATACTATTTTCTTAGGTTATGCTCATAATAGTAGTGCCAATAGATTTCTAGTCATCAACTCTGAAATAAATGAAATTTTGAATAACACTATATTTGAGTCTAGGGATGCAACATATTTTGAAGACATATTTCCTTTCAAGACTAGAATGCAAAAGCAAGTGGTAGATAGATCATGCACTAGTACTGACAAAGCCTTCACAAGTATTAGCCATCAAGTTACAAATGAAGAAGAACCTCTAGCTGAACTTAGAAGGAGTAAGAGACCTAGAGTGGAGAAGAACTTTGGTGATGATTTTTATACTCTTCTAATTGAAGGTGATCCAACAACATATAAGGAAGCCATGATCTTCGTCGATGCTCCATTTTGGAAATAAGCTATAAATAGTGAAGTTGAGTCTATTTTATAAAATAACACTTGGGAGTTAACGTATTTACCACCCGGTACTACACCAATTGGTTGTAAGTGGGTATTTAGGAAGAAACTAAAGCCTGATGGAAGTATAGACAGGTACAAAGCTAGGCTAGTAGCCAAGGGATTAACTCAAAAGAAAGGAATTTATTATTTTGACACTTACTCTCTTGTGTCTAGGATTACCACAATTAGGATCCTCATAGCATTAGCTTCTATACACAGTTTAGTAGTACGTCAAATGGATGTTAAAACAAAATTTTTGAATGGAAACTTAGATGAAGAAATTTACATGGAGCAACCCAAAGGATTTATAGTGAAAGGCCAAGAACATAAAGTGTGTAAGTTGGTTAAATCACTATATGGACTCAAGCAAGCTCCTAAGCAGTGGCATGAGAAGTTTGATAAAGTCATTTTAGAATATGATTTTGAAATTAATGAGCATGAAAAGTGTGTCTACTATAAGGAATGCAATGTACAATGTGTTATTTTATGCCTTTATGTTGATGATATACTATTATTTGGAACAAGTTTGGAAATTGTGAAAGATGTTAAATCTTATCTGTCAAAGAGATTTGATATGAAAGATCTAGGAGAATCCAATATTATTTTGGGAATGAAAGTAGAAAGAACACAAGCAGGTTTTATTATAAACCAAGCTAGTTCAATTGAGAAAATGCTTAAGAAGTTCAATATTTTCAATTGCAGTCCTGTCTCGACACCATATGAACCAAGTGTGTGCTTACTTAAAAATAGTGGTGAACCCGTTTGTCAACTCGAGTATTCTCAAATGATTGGGTCTTTGATGTATATAGCAAATAAAACTAGACCCGATATAACTTATGCGGTTGGAAGGCTGAGTAGATACACTCACAATCCAAGTAATGAACACTGGAATGCTTTAAGGCGAATGTTTAAGTATCTATGAGGAACTATGGATTATTCTATACACTATAAAGGATTTCCTTATGTAGTAGAAGGGTACAGTGATGCAAATTGGATCACTGATAGCTCTGAAGTGAAATCTACTTTAGGTTATGTATTTTTATTGGGAGGAGCAGCTATATCTTGGGGATCTAAGAAACAAACAATAATTTCTAGAAGTACAATGGAATCTGAACTCATAGCCCTTGATACTGCATGTATAAAGGCTGAATGGATTAAGAATTTTTAACTTGATATCTCATTGGTGAGCAAGCCTATACCTGCCATCTCCATACATTGTGATAATAAAGCCGTGATAGATTTAGTGAGGCAGACACATACAAATAAGAAATTAAATAGACATATTAATGTTAGATACAAATCTATGAGAAGCTTGTTAAATAAAGAAGTTGTTTCTTTGGACTATGTGAAGTCGGAAAAGAACATTGCTGATCAATTGGCCAAAGGTCCATCTAGGAATGGAGTCCTAGATTTGTCGAGGGGGATGAGCTTAAACCCATAAGGAAGTCACCTAGGGAAGAAACCCAACCTTTGTGATTGGAGATCCCATGAAGAAGGTTCAATGGGTAGAAACAATCCATATTGCGTGACTTATATTCCGGCACTCTAAAATAGGAGATTTGAAATAAAATCCCCTGCTTATCCCTATGACATTTGTGTTGATGATATGTGATGTTAAGGAAGGACATTGTCCTAAATGAGTTCCAAGGTGGGCAATCTCCCGTAGAGTACAGGTCACATGTACTCTTGGAGGACTCACCTAAGTGAGAGTAGTCGTGAGGCCACGACTGTGAGAATTGGGTTGTTCTCTAAAAACACTCATGAGAATCAAGATTAAGCACATGGCCATTAATAGCGCTAACCCGCACTAAGTTTTTTATCAATACTATGTGTGTCATATGTTGTAATCTGAATTAGAGGAATCTAGTTCAAGACTTAGTTCACTATGATTCCTTCAAATGAAAACTATGAATACTAAGAGTAGGTTCAAGTCCAAAAGACACCTACACCCATTGCATGGTATACAAATTGCCCAAACTTCCGTTTCTTCAATTGTGTCTATTTTATTCCTCATAGAGTTTTGAATCTTGTGGGGGATTGTTGGTTATTTTAATTATTTTAATAATATTTTATTTTAAAGATTCAAAACTTATTATTATTTTATTTTATTTATTTTTAATATTTAAGAGTTGTGTTTTATTTGAAGAGTCATAATCCTTTTCTAAAAGGGTATGAGAAGTTCTTTAAATATGAAACCTCAGACACAAAACAAAATACGCTAAAACTTTTTTGTCTCCCTCAATTTTCACATCTCAATTTACATTCCTACTTCATAATTCTTGGGCAATTGATCACTACTTCGCAATCCCGTCTGTCGTTGGCGTGCATATCGGATCAGACATCCTGTGAGGCTTTGGGTTGTATCTTGGAGTTGTAGGCACCGCCATAACCTGCACGTAGGGAGGCATCTACGGCTTTAAGGCAGCGACATTGCGCCTCTCTTTGGTTCACAGGCCAGATATTCTTATTCCTTTTTTTACTAATTTAAATTTCACTAGCCTTTCTGCACGCACTCATGCGCGTGCAAAAGGCTTTTTTACATCATGGGGCGCTACGCGTGGCACTTAGAGTTATTTTTTCTTTTTACATTTGTTCACGCATAAAGATTTTCTTCTGGTTACAATGTGCTAAGCACAATGTACAATTTTTTATTTTAATATTTGTATTTGTCAAGAGACATTCTTTCATTTTATTTTTTTTGGGGGGGGGGGTAAAAGTTTGAATGAACTTTTGCACCTTAGATTTAACTTAAGATACAACAAATCTCTCAACTTGGAAAGAGAAAATCATATAAACAAAATGAAGCTAAACATGATTACACTATCTAAATTGTCGTCAAACTGCATAAATGAACCGCACAAACACAACCTCAATATACAAAGAAAAAGTAACCCTCCATCGTAAAAAATAATATTACAGTAAAATTACAATCTTGAACTCTGAATTGGTCAACCAACAAATCACAATAAAAATTTTGCCTAAACAGGAGAAGCTTCTTGTTGCTAAGATGACTTTTTCTTTGGATGCCCCATTGTGCTTAACTTTGACATAGGAACCCAAAACTGTTGAAGGGAGATTGAATGTCACGGTAAAATTAAACTTCACAATGAAACCGATTAGAAAACGTAAAACTGAAGTAAACCTTCTTATGATTGACATATAAAATATGAACATTCACAACCAAATACACATAAAATTACTATTTACTGATTGTATGTTTACTGCAACAAACAGAAGAATACATAGAGCAAGTAGAAAAGCCATATCTTAGTACGACATCTTACCATTCACGTTTGCATTGGTTGTGTTGTCGAAGAAGATGGAAACTCTTCTCTTTGCCGGAACATTCTTCTCAAAAAGTAGTTGGGTGAAAAACTGATTGCATCTTATTTGCAGCCTGCAAAATTATTTAAGTAGATCACATTATGAAATACAAATGAAAATGCCTACTAAAGTACCCATCAAGTCAAATATTTTCTGAAAAAAAAAAGTCCCTCTTTTCTCATTTGTTTTCTTTTTCTGGCCATGTGCAACTGAAATGACCCAACTCTCCATTGCGTGGGATCATTATCTGATTTATTAAAAAAAATCTCAAAAAATCTGATTGTAAATAGTAAACTGAAATTATGCGGTGCAAGTCAAAATCTGTATTTAGATGGTCAATCAAAATCCAATACCAATGAGAGTGGAATGTAGATAAGAGCTTACCGGTTTCGCCCCAAATATCAAAGTCAATATGTCATCGGGATTTCCAATCAAATCATAAATTCCAGAAGGCAAATCATACATTGAGCACAGAAAAACAAAGAAAAGAGTTAGCACATTTTGCTTTGACAATAAAAAGAAAAATTAAATCTCTCACAAATGTTGCAATAAAATATGTGAAAAGCTCCAATAACTAATCCAAGGCTACAACACCTTGAAAATGGTGGAACAGAAATACGGGAGAGAGTAAAAAAAAAGGAGTTAACATAGCTTGCGTGGTGCATAAGTTTATACAATTTGTTATTAGTTCAGTTTGATAAAAAAAAGAAAACTGCTTTTTGCTCAATGTGGGTGTAGTTTTTCAGTTTTCACGTTCTACTTTTTTATTAGAAGGATTCAACACGTCTCTTTTTTATTTTTTGTTATAAAACAAATTTTTACAAAATCATCCTGCGTTTTATTATTATATTTTCGTATTTTTATGCATTTATATGGGATAATAATCTCTCTCCTAAAATGGAGGAGGAGTGGGGTTAGTTGCCTTGGCCTCCATTTTTAGTGATATTTAATCTCTCCTTAGTCCAGCACGTCTTCCCCTTTTTATTTTATTTTTTCCTTTTTATTTTCTTCTAAGAAAACGAATTTTAGATTTATGTTTTTTTTTACAAAATTGCCCTTGCTTGTTTTCATGCATCAAATTCAGCCAGTTTTAGTTTTTTTTGTTTTAAGGGCTTTTCAGTCCATTTATTTTTGGTGAAGCCTTTAGACACCAAAGTGCTTTTGGCTTTCTAATTTAAATTTCATAAGTCTGATAGTGATTATACATTTGATTTGATATATTTGATCATATAAATAATTGATATATTTCTGCAATATATTTCACAGCCGGTATCCATGAAACCACATACAACTCTATCATGAAGTGTGATGTTGATATTGTTGGAAATTCAAATCAAAACAGGTTGTAAATGGCAGCTGCTAGCTGTTAGTTTCTTTACAGGTTGTATTCACACTTGCTGCAACTACAAAGACTAAAGTTTCCTCCATGTGCCAGCTGAAAGTGTGTTGAAAGACAGCAGCTGTGTGCTGCCATGTGATGTGCTAGCCGAAACTATGTTGATTGCAAGCTGGAAAGATAGCTGCACATGTGTGCTAGACTGTCCAAAGTTCATATGATCTGTTTGTGTGTGCTGTTGTGTTTATTTTATTAAAAGCACTTGAGTGGTCCTTCATTTTCTGCTTGTATAAATAAGCCTCCCGTAAGGCTTTAGGTAGTGTCTCTGATTTGTCATTCCATTTCAGAAGTGTGTTTGCAAACTATTTTAAATATATCAAAGTGCATTGTTTGCCGAAGCTTGTAGCTTCCCTCATTTCTCTATTTCTTTGTCCAATTTTATTGAGAGTGCAAAGTGAGAGGTGTGATAAAGTTTGTAAACTTATCACCCATATATTTTGGTATTGAGTTAGTAAACTTCTCAATACCAACAATTGGTATCAGAGCCAGAATACCATTCTGGCAGGTGCAGCAGTTATGGCATCCAACTTAGTGCAGCTTCAAGTTCCCACATTGAAGAAAGAAAATTATGAAAGATGGTGCATCCAATTCAAAGCATTGTTTGGATCACAAGAGCTATGGGAAGTTGTCAGTAGTGGGTATGTTGTACCCACTACAGAGCAAGAAGCCACATATACTGCAAATCAAATGACCACTCTCAAGGATTTACGAAAGAAAGACCAGAAGGCGTTGTATCTTCTTTATCAAGGATTAGAACATTCAACGTTCAAGAAGGTTGCAGAAGCAACAACGAGCAAGCAAGTATGGGACACACTCAGTACAATCTACAAAGGAGTAGATCGAGTCAAGAAAGTGAGGTTACAGTCACTTCGAGCAGATTTTGAAACTGCTCACATGAATGAAGGGGAGAGCATCTCCGACTATCACTCAAGGCTCATTATGATAGTAAATCAGATGAGGAGAAATGGCGAGAGACTCGATAAAGTACGAGTTGTGGAGAAGATACTCCGGTCACTCACATCTAAGTTTGAACATGTGGTGACTGCCATTGAGGAATCCAAGGATTTGGAGGAGATGAGCGCAGATGAGCTACTAGGATCCCTCCTAGTTCACGAGCAACGCATTCAGAAGAATGCAAGCCCCACAACGCTAGAGTAAGCTTTGGAGTCAAAGTTGAATATTGACAAACCAAATAAAGGTCATGGGCAGTGGAACTCACGTCATGGGAGTTCATCCAACCGTAGTCGAGGACGAGCTCGAGGAAGAGGTCGAGGCTATGAACAAAACCGAGGTCAATCTCAAGAGTGGAGATCTACCCGAGGAAAGGCGCATATCCAATGTCACACTTGCAAGCAATATGGACATTATGCAAATGAATGTTCATATAAAAATGGTGAGCATGTCAACATGGCAGAATCAAATGGAAATGCTGGTGAGGAACTTACAGTCTTACTATCACACCATGATATCAGTAGCCAACAAGATGTTTGGTATTTAGACTCTGTTGCAAACAACCACATGTGTGGAAAGAAAGAGTTTTTTGCCGAACTCAAAGATGGGCCTTATGGATCTGTGAGTCTTGGTGACTCCTCAAAGTTGCCAATTGAAGGCAAAGGAAAGATCAAAATCATCCAAAAGGATGGTAAAGAAGAATACATCTCCGATACCTACTACATACCAGGTATGAAGAGCAACATTCTGAGCATTGGTCAACTGCTCCAGAAAGGGTATGTTATACATATGGAGGATATGTTTCTCACTCTCAAGAATGCAAGGAGAAAGCTTATTGCACGTGTTCAAATGTCAAAAAACCGAATGTTCCCGTTGAAGTTGAACACAAAGATTGGGAGTTGCAACATTGGTGTAATGGAAGATGAGTCATGGAAATGGCATCTTCGATATGGCCATCTTCATTTCAATGGCCTAAAGTTGCTGTCAAGTGGAGGAATGGTTCGTGGTCTACCCCAAATTGAAGCCACACGCCAAGTATGTGAAGGCTGTGTGCTTGGCAAGCAAGCACGACTATCATTCCCTGTTGGTGATACATGGAGAGCAAAGGCACCACTGCAGATGGTACACACGGATATATGTGGTCCATTGGATCCTATGTCCTATGGAGGTAATAGGTATTTTATTACTTTCATTGATGATTTCAGTAGGAAGACTTGGGTTTATTTTCTCAATGAGAAGTCGGCTGCCCTAAAAATCTTCAAGGAGTTCAAGGCACTCACAGAGGCTGACAGCAACCACAAGCTTGTGGCTGTGAGATCAGATAGAGGTGGAGAGTACACCTCCAATGCTTTCCAAGCATACTGCAAGGAGCAAGGAATTAGGCATCAACTGACTGCTGCCTATACACCACAGCAAAATGGGATAACCGAAAGAAAGAATCGAACCATCCTTGACATGACAAGATCCATGCTTAAGGAGAAGAATTTGCCAAAAGAATTATGGGCAGAAGCTGTAGCTTGTTCGATTTATTTGTTGAATCGATGTCCAACAAAGAGTGTTAAGAAGATGACACCATAAGAGGCTTGGAGTGGATATAAGCCAAATGTTGCACACCTAAGAGTTTTTGGGTGTGTTGCATATGCTCAGGTTCCAGAAGCCAAGAGGAGAAAGCTCGATGATCGAGGTGAAAAGTGTGTGTTGTGGGCTATAGTGAAGAGTCCAAGGCATACAAGCTCTACAACCCACTAACTGGCAAATTAGTGGTTAGTAGAGATGTCATCTTCAGTGAGGAAGAGGCATGGAAGAGGAACAACAAAGAAGTCAGTAAAGGGAAGATCGTCTCCACTGATTTTGAAGAACCAGAAGTTGTACCACCTGTTGAGCAACAACCTGCTCAAACAAACACAACAACTCCATTGCACAGAACTGCAAGGAGTGGTCCTACATCCAGTGAAGAAAGCAGCTCCTCAACTTCAGTGAGGCTAAGAAGTCTTACCGAGATATATGGACAAGAAGAAGAAGAAGAAACCAACATTTTCTGCTTGTATGCAGACTACGAGCCTCTCTCATTCAATGAAGCTGTGGAAGAAGATCGTTGGAGAATAGCCATGGAGGAAGAAATCCATGCTATCGAGAAGAATGACACTTGGGAGTTGACAAAGCTCCCACCAAATCAGAAGGCTATTGGTGTCAAGTGGGTGTACAAGATCAAACGCACTGCAGATGGGAGTGTGGATCGATACAAATCAAGGCTTGTAGCAAAGGGCTACAAACAGAAGTATGGAGTGGACTATGATGAAGTCTATGCTCCAGTTGCAAGACTTGACACGGTAAGATTACTAGTCTCTCTTGCCGCTCAACATAAATGGAAAATTTATCAACTAGATGTCAAGTCAGCCTTCCTTAATGGAGTTCTTGAGGAAGAAGTGTACGTGGAACAACCAGAAGGCTTTCAAGTACAAGGAAAAGAAGATAGGGTGTATCGTTTGAAGAAGGCTTTGTATGGCCTCAAGCAAGCACCACGAGCTTGGAACTCAAGGATTGACAACTACCTTCACCAAAATGGAATTCAGAAATGTCCATACGAGCATTCAGTTTACATGAAGAATGGTGAAAAAGGGGAGTTCTTAATTATTTGTCTCTATGTAGATGACTTGGTGTTTACAGGAAACAATGAAGCAATGTTCTGTGAGTTCAAGCAATCCATGTTCAGTGAATTCGAGATGACTGACAATGGATTAATGTCATACTTTCTTGGCATAGAGGTGAAGCAAGAAAGTGACGGTATCTACATCTCTCAACAAAAGTACATGAGAGATATATTGGAGAAATTCAATATGGATAAGTGCAATATTGTCAACACTCCAGTTGCAACTGGATTGAAGCTGTCTACGGAAGGAGAAGGTGAGTTTGTAAACTCAATCGTGTACAAAAGCTTGGTTGGAAGCCTAAGGTACCTTACAATCACAAGACCTGATATAGTTTATGGAGTTGGACTCGTGAGTCGGTACATGGAAACACCAAGGGAGTCTCATTGGCTGGCTGCCAAGAGAATCTTGAGGTACATAAGAGGTACTCTAAACTATGGTCTGTTTTATAATTTTGGGGAAGATGCAAAATTATTTGGTTATTCAGATAGTGATTGGGGAGGTGACCAAGATGAAAGGAAAAGCACAACTGGCTATGTGTTTTTTCTAGGATCAACAGCTTTCTCATGGACTTCAAACAAGCAATCAATTGTTGCTTTGTCATCATGTGAAGCCGAGTATGTTGTTGTAGCCTCAACAGTGTGTGAGGCAATTTGGTTAAGAAATCTATTGAAGTCAGTGTGTCATCCACAAGTGGAATCGACTGTGATTCATGTGGATAACATGTCTGCAATCAAGCTTGCAAAGAATCCTGTTCAACATGGAATGAGCAAGCACATTGATACCAGGTTCCATTTTCTAAGGGACCATGTAAAGCAAAAGACAATCGAACTTGTCTATTGTCACACGAAGGAACAAGTGGCAGACATCTTCACTAAGCCACTACCAGTTGAATCATTCCAGCTGCTACGTGAAATGCTAGGAATGAAGGCGTTTTGATTTGAGGAGGTGTGTTGGAAATTCAAATCAAAACAGGTTGTAAATGGCAGCTGCTAGCTGTTAGTTTCTTTACAGGTTGTATTCACACTTGCTGCAACTACAAAGACTAAAGTTTCCTCCATGTGCCAGCTGAAAGTGTGTTGAAAGACAGCAGCTGTGTGCTGCCATGTGATGTGCTAGCCGAAACTATGTTGATTGCAAGCTGGAAAGATAGTTGCACATGTGTGCTAGACTGTCCAAAGTTCATATGATCTGTTTGTGTGTGCTGTTGTGTTTATTTTATTAAAAGCACTTGAGTGGTCCTTCATTTTCTGCTTGTATAAATAAGCCTCCCGTAAGGCTTTAGGTAGTGTCTTTGATTTGTCATTCCATTTCAGAAGTGTGTTCGCAAACTATTTTAAATATATCAAAGTGCATTGTTTGCCGAAGCTTGTAGCTTCCCTCCTTTCTCTATTTCTTTGTCCAATTTTATTGAGAGTGCAAAGTGAGAGGTGTGATAGAGTTTGTAAACTTATCACCCATATATTTTGGTATTGAGTTAGTGAACTTCTCAATACCAACAGATATTAGGAAGGATCTGTATGGAAATATTATCCTCAGTGGAGGCTCCACTATGTTCCCTGGAATTGCTGACAGGATGAGCGAAGAGATTACAGCCTTGGCTCCAAGTAGCATGAAGATTAAGGTCGTAGCACCACCAGAGACGAAATACAGTGTCTGGATCGGAGGCTCCATTCTAGCATCCCTCATCACTTTCCAACAGGTAACGTGTCGTGTATGTGTGCATCTTTTCAACCAAAAACAGCTAAAACACCTCTCCTGTTCTTTCTCTTGTTTGTCAAAGTGCTTATGTGACAATTCATTCCGGAGGTAACTTAACGTATTCATAGAATTTCAAACTCAAAGCTATTTCTATTTCTGAGTGCAGTTGTGGATTGCAAAGGCAGGGTACGATGAGTCTGGCCCCTCAATTGTTCACAGGAAATGCTTCTAATCGCGCAAACAAAGCAAGCGGGGAACAAAGAATTTACACATAACCGATTTTGTATTACAGAAAGGCTTCTTCTATTTGAGCGGTTGCGGAATTTCTTTTTGTATTCATTTTCGAATTTCATTCATGTCGATTTCTCTACGTTGGTTGTGACGGGACATGAGCATTAATGCAGAACGACAAAGAGATAGAGGAGATGTGTCAAAAACACACGAGGCTTGACAGAAAAATGATAGAAGAGCAATGCTCAATTCTTCATTACCATAAAATTATAATTCCAAATTGTCTCCTTTAACATATCAAACTCCTTCCCTAATATACTAGTGTGACAAAACGTCTTCATCAATGCAAATACAACTCCCTAAGCCACCGAAGCATATTAAATGGCAATTGTTCCACCTAGCTACTTAATTTAAAACACGACTTACAATGGATCAAAATTACTACAAAATATTAAATCACAGCCTAAGATACATGAATCTCAAATTAATAATTAACGGAATGGCCAAATACAAAAATACCAAAAACCCCGTTGAATAAGCTCCTTATATATGCACTGCATCAAGCATGGAGGCGAGCAAATTATGATTAAGATTCAATTTTTTCATTCCTAGTGTTTTGTTGTAGAGAAACTATGTATTGTTACGGATATGGTATGGTTGAAATCAAAATTCCTCTTCACTACTCTTTGTTTTGTACCATGATTTGGGAATACAGGACTTGACAGTGTTAAATAAAATTAATGAAACATAGTACAAGTTCGTTTATAAGCAATCCGAATAAAATAAATTCAACTATTAGTACAAAATTCGTTGACAACTTCGACACTCTTAATTGAACGATCTGGCAATTTTTTTTCGCTCTGCATTAATTTGAGATTCATTTAGAGAAGCGGAAGTAGATAAAATTACAAAACCACAAACGGTAAAATCACAAGACCGGTAAAAGCCGACCCAAAGCATCACAATGACATATTGACTTCGATATTTGGGGCGAAACCGGTAAGCTCTTATCTACATTCCACTCTCATTGGTATTGGATTTTGATTGACCATCTAAATACAAATTTTGACTTGCACCGCATAATTTCAATTTACTATTTACAATCAGATTTTGAGATTTCTTTTTAATAAATCAAATAATGATCCCACGCAATGGAGAGTTGGGTCATTTCAGTTGCACATGGCCAGAAAAAGAAAACAAATGAGAAAAGAGGGACTGTTTTTTCAGAAAATATTTGACTTGAGGGGTACTCTAGTAGGCATTTTCATTTGTATTTCATAGCTTAACTTATGTTTTTTAATGTGATCTACTTAAATAATTTTGCAGGCTGCAAATAAGATGCGATCAGTTTTTCACCCAACTACTTTTTGAGAAGAATGTTCCGGCAAAGAGAAGAGTTTCCATCTTCTTCGACAACACAACCAATGCAAACGTGAATGGTAAGATGTCGTACTAAGATATGGCTTTTCTACTTGCTCTATGTATTCTTCTGTTTGTTGCAGTAAACATACAATCAGTAAATAGTAATTTTATGTGTATTTGGTTGTGAATGTTCATATTTTATATGTCAATCATAAGAAGGTTTACTTCATTTTTACGTTTTCTAATCGGTTTCATTGTGAAGTTTAATTTTACCTGACATCAATCTCCCTTCAACAGTTTTGGGTTCTTATGTCAAAGTTAAGCACAATGGGGCATCCAAAGAAAAAGTCGTCTTAGCAACAAGAAGCTTCTCCTGTTTAGGAAATTTTTTTATTGTGATTTGTTGGTTGACCAATTCGGAGTTTAAGATTTTAATTTTACTGTAATATTATTTTTTACAATGGAGGGTTAGTTTTCCTTTGTATATTGAGGTTGTGTTTGTGCGGTTCATTTATGCAGTTTGACGACAATTTAGATAGTGTAATCAGTTTAGCTTCATTTCGTTTATATGCTTTTCTCTTTTCAAGTTGAGAGATTTGTTGTACCTTAAGTTAAATCTAAGGTGCAAAAGTTCATACAAACTTTTAGCCAAAAAAAAAAATGAAAGAATGTCTCTTGACAAATACAAATATTAAAATTTAAAAAATTGTACGTCACGCTTAGCACATTGTAACCATAAGAAAGTTTTTATGCGTGAACAAATGTAAAAAGAAAAAATAACTCTAAGCGCCGCGCGTAGCGTTCCGTGATATAAAAAAACTCATGCGCGTGCAGAAATGCTAGTTTATATATAATTGATCATGTAGTTCACAGAAACATGTATCTAGATCATACTTCAATGATCTAGATTAATGCATAAACTAACTTTATAATGCCAAAGTATGTAAGAAATGCATGATCCTCGCCGCCTGCATATATGCATGCCAAGTCAATGAACAATTGATGGACAATTCTACACGTACCTCTTACTGTGCGCAAGTGTCAAATTTCAAGGACACCAAAAGGTTTTTGGGACGCCTCCTTTGTTTGAATCCGATCATTCAAACAAAAAGGCACGAATCGAACTCCAATAATATCCATGTCCTTTATACTGTTATCTTCATCAATATAATGAAGTGTCACAATTAGATATCTTCCGTCAATCATTGTATTTAAGAAGGTGACAATTTTTTCAATTATACCACCATGAAATATATAACGACAGTCAATCTTCCAACGATCATCATGTACAATGATTTGAAGATCGTCTCCAACTTGTTGGAATTTTTCTTCACTGCTTTACGTATACTGCATATACATCTTACAGCCCATAATCTTTCGAATCACATTTTCTAACAATTGCATATAAAAGAAATATTTTCATATATGTAAGTTGAACCAGAGTGTATATAGAAAACAACTAAAACTAATGAAAGTACAAATTCATTTACGTTCAATCCGAATAAAATAAAGAATACATTTAAACAACTTGGCAACTCTTTTCGGCTTGGAACATGGATTCATTTAAACGGCTGTAGATAAAATGCGAAACCCAAGCCACCAACATAAGAAGCGCGGTAGCAGCCCCACCGACCATCACAAGATTAAGAACCGGGAGCGGTCGTGTGATTTTTGAGCTTGGTGACATTGCTTTAGCATTAGTAGGAGAACCTGATGGTGAGGATGGAGAAGGAGAGGGACTTGGACTAACTACTGGATCTTCTATTTCGAGGGCATTGATCTTGATTTTAATCTTTTGGCCGGCTTTGCAGTGACCAGGTTCACCACAAATAACATAGTAGGTGCCCGGTATATCAAAAGTTAAGGCGGTAAAGGTACCGTAATGAGATAGGGGAAGTGATGGAATACAATAGTCATAATCTGCTTGAGTGACTATCATCACAAAATCATATTCATGTTTGTAATTAAATATGAACTCGTCGCCCACATAGAATTTTTTCGATGAAGCCCACTCGTTGTAATCAACCGCGCCACTATCAGTCCATCCTTCCAAATCGCCGCCAACCGTATAAACGGTAGCGGAACAAGCACCAAAGAAAATCATCATGATGATGAAACTCACGGCAACAGTGTTTCTTAGAGCCATGACTAAAACAGGAAACAATAAACAAGCAATTAGGAAAGCAGAAAGCAAAGAGAGTGAATGAATGCAACTTAGATGAAAGGCAATAATGCGTGAGCATGCGTATATATACATAGATAGATATAGTTAGTGTCCCAAACGGAAAATGTTTCCCAAATCCAGTTGGAAAACGGTTTATAAAATCAGACAAGTAGTAGGAATTCTATTTAGGAATAATGTTGCCCAAGCTTAACTAATAATCGAATTCCAATTTTAAGCTTAACTAATAATCGAATTCCAATTTTCTGCCGTGTTGTCGGCTGCTTTTACTTCCAAATTATGCTTGTTTCCATGTATGATGAAACATTGTATTTTAGGCTTATTAGTCGAAATGCCCCCTAAAACTGTCATTGAGTCTCAGTTACCCCTTGAAATTGATTTTGTCCCACTTTGCCCCCTGAAACTAACATTTTCAACTCTTTTGTCTCACTTTACCCACTTCTATTAATGAACTGTTAAATTTAAGGATATTTTAGACATTTCAATTTTTACACATTTATTTACCTCTAGCCTACACACTAAACAAGTCTTAATTTTATTTTTTGACAACTCTAATTCAAACTCATAAATTTTGGGCATTTTTTAAAATAAATTATTTAATCAATTGAAAAATTCCGAGCAACAAAATCATTGTATCAACCAAAATAAGGGTTAAATTTGTTCATATAGTCATTTCACTTGCAAGACATCCATGTATTGGCTCGAAACTTTGCAATTGAAAAATATTCATTACAACAAAATTATTATACCATTAAGCTATTCTATCCAAAATACTTCCCAAACCAAAAAAAAAAAATCATTTAAAGCAAATGTGCACAGTTTGAACAAGCTCATGCCTAGTGGAATCAGTGCTCAATAATGTGAATTTTTTTTTGTTTCAAACTGTGCACATTTGCTTTAATGATTTTTTTGTTTTTTGGTTTGGGAAGTATTTTGGATAGGATAGCTTAATGGTATAATGATTTTGTTGTTATGAATATTTTTCAATTGCAAAGTTTCAAGCCAATACATGGATGTCTTGCAAGTGAAATGACTATACGAACAAATGTAACCCTTATTTTGGTTAATACAATGATTTTGTTGCTCGGAATTTTTCTATTGATTGAATAATTTATTTTTTAAAATACCCAAAATTTATGCGTTTGAATTAGAGTTGTCAAAAATAAAATCGAGACTTGTTTAGTGTGGGGGCTAGAGGTAAATAAATGTATAAAAACTTAAATGTCTAAAATACCCTTAAATTTAACAGTTCATTAACGGAAGTGGGTAAAGTGAGACAACAGAGTTGAAAATGTCAGTTTCAAGGGGCAAAGTGAGACAAAACCAGTTTTAAGGGATAAACTAAGACTCAATGACAGTTTTAGGGGCATTTCGAAATTACAGTGAAGAAACGAGAATCGAACTCGGGCCCTTGGGTTGCATGATGCAAATTTAGTGCATAAAATGATTCCAATCTTTGATGCTGTCCTTTTCATGACATGGCTAAAGCCAAGACTTACTGACCTTGTGCTTGATTGTTGAGAAAAGCATCGCTGCCTCGGTGTCACTAGCCTCCTCTTTGTGACAAGAGAGATACGAAGAGGGGTAGTGACACCGGATAGAGAAGCATTTATCCCACTAGTGAGGCCTCGAGTTACCAACTTTTAGCCGCCAACAGAACCATGGTGGGGATAGTTGTTATTACAACTAAATTGAGGAAATCTGAAAGCGATAGGTTTACCGAATAATGGTAGACAACAAAGCATACAATGAAGATGTCTTGACTTGCAACCCAAGTAATCATTCTTTCTGATAAAGCAAACAAGAACACAACAAATTGAAAGATTTCAAAGTAATGGTCTGCATTATAAAACAAGATAGCTCCAGAATTCTGCATTTCAGATTTACACCATTGGTTTTCCAGCAACTTGTTAATAAAGATGCAACTCATCAAACAGGACGAATAAGCGTTGCAGTACTTCGCTGGCTTCACATTCTTAAAACGCCTACAGTAACTGAAAAGGCGTAACAAGAACGGATTTATTAAATCGAAATACATTGCACAGCTTTCGGGTGTATACAGACTCCAACTTATGAACCTCGAAAAAAATCTGAAGCTTGTCCATAGCTTTGCCTAGGGTGCATAGTTTTATGGAAAGAAATCAGTTTATATAAAAGAAAAACTGGAAGAAAACAACCCAATGTTAGAAAAATGTTGAAGGAGAATAAAACTTGCTGAAGCTGGTTTCTTAAAACCAGACCCAGCCAATCGAGTTACTGGGTGTTATACTGACTTCACATCATATCAATCCTTGAACATGTTAAAACTTGACGGTCCAACAGTGTCAATGAACCCTCTTACGGAAAGCTCAGGTGCGGGTTGGTTCTTCCCCAGTAAATCGTGATCTATAAAAATGACAACAATCGTAATGTCATCGTGAAAGAACCGCCTAACTCCCTTTCCAACCTTCTTAAGGTCATCATATCTCATCTCCCTTTTCCTAGCTGCCTCGCTCAAAGCTGTTTTGAGAAGCCTTTTTGCAATTCCCTGACATTTTTGAAAACAACAGAAGAAAGAACGATTGGGATCTCGATAATAAAAGCATAAAACAAAAAGACGAAAGAGGTATTAGAAGGAAAAAAAAAACATACTGCTCGAGGATTATTATGTACAATCTCCACAGCTTCCTGATTTGTCATATGCTCCCATAGCCCATCGGATGCAAATATTACAAATTTATCATTGGGTTGTAGAACCCTAGCGCATACAGATGGTTCTGCTGTTAGCACAGGCCGGCCAAGGGGCTCAGATAGGTGGAATCTCGGAAATGTAGGATCATAGGATCAAGAGAAAATTCTGGCCTCTTTAAGTATGCATCACCGATAGATCTAGACACCTGACAGCAAGCAAGTAAAGAGAAATTTAAGTAATTACTAATAACTTGTCAACGATGTTATCTAACTGGCAAATAAAATTTGTAGTTAGTACCTAACACAGGAATTGAATGCTGAATGTGCATACCAGTTGATTTTAAGCAACTGCTGTGGGGGAGTGAAAATGTTAAACATACGTGTAATGAAGAAATACAACACAAAAACCTAGCCCTGCAGCATCTACGAGATACATGACTGATGCAACTACAAACACTGATTCTACTTGGACCGAAAAGTAACGGAAGAAATGTATGCAGTTGTGTTTGCTAACAGACACGCATCTTGACGGGGCATGTGCAGATACTAAAGCAATCCTTAAGCATTCTGGACATTTATGTTAAGGTGATTACATAATTCGTAAGTCAGAAATCACAAAATTGACTCGTTATAGAAAGTGGGTATCATTAACAGAAGGAAGTTGAGAAAAGTACAGAAAATATCTCCAAAAGCTAGATATAAGACCAGATTTGGAAACTAGGTACCAGGACAATACAAAAAAGTAAAACATACGTAATTACACAAGTATGCAATAGCTTTATAAACTATAATTCTATCCAAAAATTGACGACAGCAGGCAATAACAGATAAAGAAAAAAAAGGGATCATGCATATTTATATATATATATCTATACACACACACACATATAATTATATATGCAACAAATAACGTGACGTGACAAAACCAAGCAAGTCAATTAAAGAGAGACGGAAAGTGAGTAAACCTGTATGATGCCTTTGATACGCCAAACGCCATGCTTCATAACAACAATATGTGAATCATCTGGATGCAAGGACCTGAGTTCTTGTCTAACCTCCTCCATACTTGCATTGTGCTCCCTATTTAGCTGTTCAGCAGCTATCTTATTCGATCTACCTATAGAACCAATTACTGCTCGAGAGTCTCCTAGATTAGCAACATACAATGTTCCTCTCCAGATAACTCCAACCAGACAACAAGACCCAATTGCTGCCATTAATGGCTTTATTCCACAAGTCCTACGCACAAGAGTAAGGAACCCATCCTCCGTCGAAGAAAAGGCACTTCTAAGAATATCTTCAGATATGGTTCCCTTTTCTTGAGCATGTCCTGTAACAAAAACATTTAAATAAGTTGCGATTGGAAAAATCCAAAAGTACATGGTGTACAGAACAACTGCAAATGGAGGGGGAAGCATAGAATACAAAAAATAAGCAGTATTGCAACAGAAGCGTGGCAAGCGCCCGTGTTCTTAAACTATCTTCCTCTTCCACTTCCCCAATCACATATAGCTAGAAGGCTCTCTATTGGCATATCAAAAAGGGCCTTTGACTCCAGTGTGGAAGGGAAAAGACAATGTATCAAAGAAACAAAAATTTCAAATTTCACAGAATTGTACATTCAACTCTACTCGAACTATGCAGAACCAAAAAGATAAACATAACAACCTCCGATCGAGTCCATTAATGGAACCGATTCTCTCTTCTGATTTTTATTTAGCACAAATAAATTAAACCTTTCAAATAACAGCGCTGTGTATATTTCAGCATCATCAAGACAAACTCGACTGACAAAATTTACCCAGTAGAGAAAAATCCAAGACTCTGCTTTAAACCAATTGACCATCAAACAAACATACAATTCACATTTAAGTTTAAAAGAAACAACAACATCAAAGACAACACCTTTCAAAAAACACAAATCCACAAATCCCAAACAATCCATCAAAACACACAACTCCAACAATCCCAAGAAAAAGCAGACGCTACGCCCGCAAAGTTGACTAAAGCAGTGTGCTCGGCTCACCACACAAGTTCAAATCCCCGCAGTTTAGATTAAATTAGAATATCGCTCGAATCAAAACAGGAAAATAAAAACCCAAGAAACGAAAAGAATCCAAAAACCAAGAAAATAGGGGCTCTGGCTCACTCACTCATGAGATGAAGAAAGAGATGGTCATTAATGAAGCGAGAAGCATCAGGTCCACCGTGTCCGTCATAAACACCAACAAAGGTGGCGTCTCGGCCGGTCTCCACCTGGCTGTGATCCTCAATAACTTCATTGGCCTGCACGACAGCGAACGAGAATTCTCCATAGCTGTGCCTGTCGAGGCTTCTGCACCACAGCAAAGGGTCCTCCAACGACGAGTCGTCCACCTCATCCTTGTTCATACGGGCATATCTCCGCAATGGCTTCCAACACGTACACGCTATCCTTGCCAGCCACGAAAACATCCCTCATTTTCCCAACAACAACCCCGACAACTGCTACTTTCCTCTGTAATCCGACAACCATTTCGTGGATTTCTGGTGCTCTTTGAGAAAATTAAAGATTTGGGGTCGCTTGTTTTTCAATAAAGTTTCAAATTTTGGGAAGATTTTGGAGGATTGGCAAAATCCAAAAGGAGTTGTGATTTTTGAGACAAAAGGTTCAAAGGGTCTGTGGGTTTTTCTGAGTCTTCCTCTGTCCTTCTCTCTGTGTGTTTAGAGAGAGAAAGAGGGGAGAGAGAGAGAGACAGGTTTTGCAGAGCAACCAGGACTGGGTGGAAGGGAAGGGGAAAGTTGACGAAAGCGTGTGAGAAGCACTCTATTCTTCTTTGTTTTTTCGAAATGGTGTTTGTAAATTGACGGAAATGCCACTGGTGTGATGACGAAAGCGGATTTGGCAAAACATTGTTTTCAAATTGTTTTTGTTTCCTTTTTTTGTTTTTTATAGAATTCAAAATATTTTCTTTTGTGGGGTCTCACCTCTCACATTATACATTTCACTATCACCAAATTGTCTTTTTCTCTAAATTTCTCGTTTTATTTAATTCTTGAACAATTTCAAAAAATGTAAATTACAAAAATGATCGAAGGCTTTTTAGTGATGATGACATCATTTTTGTAATTTTAATATGAATTAAGTGTAACTGTGAAACTAAAAGTATTTTATAAGGAGCTAAGTCCATCTCGGAGTAGGATTCTCTCCTCTCCTATTTACATCCCTTTCCATCCCTCTCCTCACAAATTGTTTTTTGTCTTTTTCTGTCTATTAAAAGATGAACACAAAACGTTGACATGGGTTAACCGTAAATGTTCAAATAGGAGGAGATGGAATGGGAGAAAGATTAGGATGGGTGAAAATCCTACTCCGACCATCTCTAACCCTTGTCTTAAAACATAAACTTTTTAACATTGAAAATTTAGGTTTAACTCAGATGCAATTTTTAGTTCCCACCTTGAATTAAATTTTTAGCCCTAGATTATTAAAAATGAATTTAAGCTATTTTTTAATTAACTTTTTTTATAAAAAAAAATTATTTAGATTATTCTAATTTAATTTTATGAACATTTTAACTTAAAAATATTTAGTTTCCGATGAATATTGAAAAATACTAAATCGACACCATGAAACTCATGGAACACTATGAAATATTCTTTTAAGTATTTTAGGCGTTGAATTTAAATTTGGACTGTTAGGTGTTTTTACCATTAGATTTGATCATATTATTCTAGCAATTGGATTCAATGAATATATAAATATCAAACTAAAAATTAAATAAATTAAATATGAACCATTAGATTAACCAACGTCCAATTAACCACAACTGTTTGATGAAAGAAAGAGTCGTTGGGCTTAGACTGGTGACCGATACACCTATGTGCATGGGACCCTCGCATTGTCAGCGCCTTGTGAGTTGGGGCGTTGGGCGCGTCAAATTTGTTGTGGCTTGGTTTATGTTGGGCGCATCTACTCGCACTAGTGGGCTAGCCCACTAACCCTAGCTTAATCCTGGGCGAAATGTGCCCAAAAATGAGTTTTAACCCAAAACTCATTTTTGCGCAAGGGTTTGGAGCAAGTTAGGTGGGTTTAGAACCTAAAATTTGAGTTTTACTCCAAGGATTGGAGTAGGTCTAAGAGGGCTAGTAGCTCAAGATATAATCCTTGTATAACCAAACAAAATTACGCTAGTTAGTTGGAGTAGTATAACATCTCCTTACACCCAAATTCTAAGTGGGAATTAAAGCAATCAATATTGCTTTGTCAAAACAAAATTTCCTCAACAAAAACAATTACTTTATATGTATTTGTAGCCTTAATTTTTATCATGAACATTTATGTCGAACTAAAGATCAAGTTTTGAACTATTAAAAAAGTTTTTATCTCACTTTCTGCTCATGCTTAACACTTACATAGCATGTACACAATTGCTGATATGATTAAAGAGCATCATTGATTAGCCAATACAGATTTCAAAAGTGTGATTTTCTCTTTTAGCTATAATATTATAAATGGGGTGTAGCAAATTGCATGTTGACCTTAAACAATGACAAAGTCTATGCCTCCTCCTCCTCTCCCTCTGAAATTGATATTGTATGAAGCTTCCCTTTTTTTTTTTTTTTTGGAAACGTACGAAGCTTCCTTTTAGCATCATAAAACCTTTAGATTACAACAAATTACAATATCCCATCCCATATGCAATGCATGCGCAACTCTCTTTTCTTTTTCTTTACAACTTATTAAATTTATGAATAATAATAATAATAAGCACTACAACTTATCTTCCCCAATTATATCCAATTATTTAAAATTAGTCACAATTATTTATTTATTTATTTACAAATATATATATATATATATTTGTAAATTAAATAAATAAATAATTGTGACTTTTTGGACAAAATATTCGATCATAATCATGATATGATATCCAACCCCAGAGAACACGTGTGAGTGATCGGGGTAGGTCAGGTGTAACCATGAAATGTAATGCTTATCAGGAAATCAACCTTTGTCCTTTTTTATGAACGGAGGAAATGCAGCGGAGGTAGGAGGAGGGAGGGACGGCATGTTGCTTTCCAAGAAATTAATAAAAAATTAAAGGGTCTCCATAACACATGCAGCATGTGAGCAACTGTGGCTTTTTCGTTTCTGTCACAGCATTCACTATTCAGGTTGCCTTCTCTCTCTCTCTCTCTCTCTCTCTCTCTCTCTCTCTCTCTGTGATAATCTAGAAAGATGATGAATCCACTACAACACACACAGAGAGGCATTCATGGGATGATGGTGCAGTTGGAGATTAAAGACGTCGTTGTTGCCACGGATGAGATCAGATTTGACTCCATGAACCCCATCAGACGGTTGTGCTGTCTCCTTATGGTCAATGTCACATGTACAAGTGCTGCTCTTTTATTTGGCCAACAAATTGGGTTGGGAAACTCCATCTCTGCTATATAGAGGAGGTGGAGAATTTTTATTAGTAGAGGTGGACACGGTTCGGTTTGAATATTCGTCTTATTGGGTATGATTTGGATTTTGGGTTGAAATTAGACTGAACCGATTGTGTTAGGAAACTAAAACTTCATACCAAACCGATAAAATTCATAATAAAAAGGCATCTTTATACTAATATACAATGAATTTGAACCACATTCTAAAAATGGACGATCAGATTAATACTAAGAGGGTGTTTGTTCGTTGAGCTAGACAATGTCATTGATCAAACGCTTGTGCCTGTTGTAATGCTTTTCCATGAAAACCTTTGAAGCTCCTTCAATGGCCATTCTCCATGTCTGCACATAACATCATGACAAACACAAAAAAGCATCAATATATAAGTTGACTTTTCATTCCCACTTGTAAATTGTAACAATATAAAAGTTCACAAGTCTTTATCAATGAAAAAAAAAAAGTCCGACTATAATGTTAAGTCTCATTCAGTAGTACGAGTTACATGTAAGATATAATCGCTGCGAATTTTTAGATTCCTATATGCAAGATTTAACTATTTTACCCTCCCCCTCCTCTCCCCTTAATAAAAAAGGAAAACTAGTGAAAATAGCTTGAAAACTTTGAGTTTTAACGATAAGGACAAAATACAGGGTAAAGTGAATAATACCAGGATTGACTTTTTAGTGTAAAAATATGATTTTTCGTTAAAGTGAATAGTACCAAGAACTTTTCGTTAAAATTCCCTAAAGAAATGGAGATAGGCAGGTTGGTTAGTTAGCTGGCAAATTGGACCAAGCTAGTGACAGCTTTACCAACATGTCCAACAGGCTGCACCACAGAGTTGCTGTAAAACCCTAAACCCTAGTGAACAATCTACAGATGATGGGGTTGGGGAGGATGTTGGACCCTGCTCTACTAATGCTTTCTATATGCCTCAGATCACATAAGGACTGATGCACTGTTTTCGGGTTTAGGGTTTACGATTTAGGACAAAAGAACTAAAGCGGTATTAGTTTTTTTTTTTTCACAAGTGATATTGGAGAAAAGGACAATCAATGCAGGACCTCATAATCTCATATCTATGTGTGAGCATAAGCATTTACTTTTTCATCCAATGTACCGAGTACGAAACTCCCTTCCTAACTATCGCTGGTATCAAAACACATTTTATGTAATGTAATAAATACAAAAATAACAAAAATCTAACCTTGTGAATTGTGCCAAAGAGGGACTTGTTCCTGATATCCCTAGCCCTGAGGTGTGAAGCCCTGCCGCCATGAATCCCAATTTTCCTAAACAACGCCTTGCTTTTAGTCCCAGCAGGAAGCAGAGACCTCCTCTCCACCAACCCACTCTTCCCACTCAACGGGCTCTCACACTGCTGATCCCCATCCCCGTTCACCCGGCTTCTTTTCCGACGCTTCGACACCCTCACCGCCAGCTGTTTCCTCGCAGGAACCTCAGCCTCGTCCCCGGAATCCGCAAATTTCCTCAGCAGCTCGTCGGAAGACTTCTTGGTCACATGTTGAACACTTGCGGATGCAGCAGCAGCAGCAGCAGCAGCAGCAGTACAAGGAGTAGTCGTAGTGATAGCTTCCATTGTAAATTTGTAAAACGAGAGAGATATTGTGAGAAAGATAGTACGTAAAATTGGAATGTGGAAGCTTTATAATTATATGTATGTGTTTTTAGTGCTAATACTGTATTTGTGGAAATTGGACCGTTGGGATTAGGACTTGGGGGAATTATTTGAATAATTGGGCGAGTGGGGGAAATATAGCCGTTATAAGAGACAAAGAGGAGCCTGGAGGTGCAGTGCATTATGATTTGTGGGCATGTGATTATATTTCGGAGTACAAAAATTCCAATTTGGCATAATTATATATGGTTTAGGGTTCCCATGTTCAATCCTGACACAAATTTTGTAGATGATGTGGTGGTGACAAAGTTGGATCTGGTTCCGGGTTTTGGGTCAAGTAACGGTAATAATAGTGGATTGGTGAGGAGTTGGGCCATAAACCATGTGTCCGAACAAGTCTCGTTATCATCATCTAAAGATCATCTCTAAAAAGGAGATTGTTTAGCTATTCTTATGTGTTGAACACATCTAAATTTATGGTAACAAGCAATGTCCTCAGGGTTTCGTCAACTTGTTCAATTCATACAGATGACTAAATAATCTCTAAATCAAATAGTTTTTTCTAGAGATGGATTTGTAGGCGATGATAACGGGAATAAACAATTTGAATTATGACTTTTGCACACTAAAATAAGGGAATTATTATTAGTACTCCAAAAATCTCATTCTACACTCCTCACAAGTATATGTTTCTTTCTAATTATAGAAAGTTTGGAGGGTCAAATAACATTTTTGAAGTGCTATAACAATTCCCTAAAATAATGTCACATTGTCATGTAAGGATGAATTAACATGTAACGAAAAAGTAAACGGGTAGTGAAGTTATTTGCATAAAGTGAGAGAAGTAGCTAAGGAAATCTAATGCCTAATTGAAAATAAATACAATAAATATTACACCTTTGTAGAACATATATAAAGATATTCTACAAGCAAATGTTACAATAAGAAACAAATATACTGCCTCCGCAGATTCCATCCATTCGGATTTCTTTTCAATGGATCTCCACAAATGCTGTTAGAGGATGTCTTCAGAAGCCTAAGCCTGAAATTACGAATTTCGAATTTTAATTGAGAATATTTCAGTTAGCGTCTTAAGGTTGGTTTCTGGGCATGCACTTCCAAATGTTCAAGAAATTCCATGCAATGGTATAGACTTCTTTTAACGCACGTAAAATATTCCAGAACTTCAAATACTGATAGCGTCAACATAATATAGTCAAGCATGTTGGATTAGTTAAAAGTACATCGAAACGAGTTTTGAATCATCAATGCGCCTATGAGATTACTTCTAGTTATTTTCAACTAAAAATCAATTAGCGTGTGTATTGTAAAGATGAAGGATCGTGCCATAAGCGTCATAATTCATGTTATTTCAGAATTTGTATCACTTGATCTTATAGAAAGAGCCAGTTATCTTCTTTCTAATCTAAAATGGAAGTTTTATAAAACTTACTTCTACATCTCCTTGATTATCACCTGTAATGAGAAAATTGACTGGAGGCAAATTACAAAGAAGTCAGAACTGTAATTGACAAACCTTGTACCTTGTTGTTATGAGCTGAACTGAGTCCCGAAACTGAGTGTATGGCATTCAAGATTCCCCAAGTTTAGCTGTATAATTGGGAAACACCAACATCATAAGCATGAATGCAAGAAATTGTCTAACAGACCAGACATGAAAACTCGTCTAACATCACGATGACATCAAAATTTATTCCTCAAGAAGCTTTCAGCATGCTCGAATATCAAACAGCTTACCACAACAGCAACTCCCGTCTCACAGAATTTAGGTATGCTAATGAGTCTCACCATCTGACCATCAGATCCTGCAATTGCAAGTTTGTAGACCATTCAAGTGATGAAAAGAAATAAATAATTCATTTTTGGCATGAGAAGTATTTTTAGTAAATGATTACCGAAGTTACAAGAAAATACCCTTTACTAAGCGACTATCATATTTATCCTGATTACCAACAAAGTAAACGTGAGGACAACTCTCGATCAGGAACGGATCCCTATCCGTGAAAGGATAGCACCCTGAAACATAATGAAAACAAGAGAAACTCAAACATAAACCCATAGGAAGACCAAAATTACAAATGATTGTCCTAATTATTTTCATTGTTCAGTCTCAAATTGGAGACAAATGTCAGCCAAATGTCAGCCAAGCTGAATTCCAAGCCAAACAACCAATTTAACATAACAAATTGATTCAGGTGACCAATAAACTACACAGGCAAAAGATATAATTCATACCAAGAGTATTAGGTGCTGTTGGTGCCAGATGCCTCCACCTCAATGTCCTTTCAATAAAGTCAAGTTTATCCGTTGCTTCTGAATACTTATCAAGATCATCTATATTTTGCCCCGATGTTCCAAGAAACCTGAAAGCCACAATACCAGTATGTCAAAAATAATTACCTAATAAGTAATACCAAAACAAAATTTTTGATCAACAATGCGAAAAGTCAAATTAGATCTACAATTTTACCTGACATCATCAAGATCAAAGCAATGGGGATTGGTACATGATCTGAACGTGTTATAAGCTGATGAACCAGGGAAAAGGCATCTGTTCAAAGGCTGAAAGGAAAAGCATATTAGCAAATAACAAACCTGCTGCGGCATGGAAAAGTTGATGTATACATACTTTCAAGGATATAGATCAAACCTGCTGTGGCAAGGCAAAATTAGCAGGGTCATAGATACCAGGCATGATATCCAAAGACAAACCTGCAGCAATCTAGCACAAGTATATTTAATTAAGCAGTGTGGTTCATGATAGGAGCACAGATGAGGTATATTCACTAGTTATATGATTAAACAAACCTGAGTCAACAAAATATCCAGCTCCTTAATTGGCTCAGACAGCCTTGATTGATCCTTTGACGCTAAATTCTAGCCACAATGGACAAAACGACTATTAGAAAGAGAATTAGGGGTGGTTTGGGAGTGAGGTGCTTAAAAAAAACACCCATGAAAAAAAGATGTGAGGGTTTTAGGTGTTTGGTAAACTGAAAAAAAAAGGGATTATTTTGGAAGCTGCTGTGAAAATAAGCTGAAATCAAAGGAAAAAGCTGAAGCTGCTATTTGCAACTTTGGAAAACTGGCTTTTTTTCAAAGCACACAGAGCTACAGTGCTCCTTTAATGAAAAGACCCACTATCAAACTATTTTTTTTTTCCAAAAGCACTTTTACAAAAAAGTTTACCAAACACTCTGCTGATTTATTTCACAGCCGCTTATTCTCACAGCACAGCCGCTTATTCTCACAACAGTTTTTTTTTAAAGCACAGCAATACCAAACCAGTCCTTACTAAGTTTTTCTGTAACATATGAACCTATCAGGCATCTCGATTGAAAATTTAAGAAACTATACTACAAAAGGTTTAGGCTTTCCATTTTATTATTTCAACGAAGATTAAAAGGTCGTACCCAGTGCACAAGGCTCCCGCTTTACGCAGGGTCTGGAAGAGGTGAATGTCGGCTAGCCTTACCCCCATTTATGGAGAGGCTGCTCCCAAGTCTCGAACCCGAGACCTACCGCTCATGGGCGAAGGCACTTGCCATTAAACAACTTAAAAACTTAAAAACTATGTTCTTAGGCTTTTCAGTTTATAAGAAATCATTAAACAATATATTCATCCTATTATTAGAAAGATCTAAATGGTTTACCTGTCCATTAAGAAGTCCATGAGGAACCTCAATAGAATTTCCAGCAATTACAACATGAACTATCTGTGCTGCAATACCTTGTTCCTATTTAATGTTCTACAAAGTTAGTATGTTAAGACAGTTTTATATATAATGCACAGCACACGATAATGAAGGATAAGACAGCATGAACCTTCTCATCTCCTAAATGTCCTGTTATATGATCAACGAGAAGCTGAAACTGGAGAGGGTTTAAAGAGCTGCTTCCGACACGAAGTCCAGATACAAAAACAACATATTTGCCTTCTCCTGTGTGAAACAAAATAAAATTAGTATAAAATGGTAGAGGTAAAGATAATTGTGAAAGAACAAGAATACTTGAGGAAAATGAGAAACTAAATACAAGACATTGTAGCTCCTCCTTAAACATATTTTTTTATAGCCAATATTGTCTAACATACTTTTGCATAAATTCGACCTTTTTTCAAATGTACGTTTCTTACCAATATCATAATCCTAGAATTAACGTGTCTTTATCCCTACAACAGTTTGCAGTATTCAACTTGCATGAACTGGTTTTGATTCCAAAGTCATTAGATCTTTCTATAAAATTATTAAATATAAGATGAAAGTCTAAAGGAACAAATAGCCAAGAACAAACATTTCTGCAAAGAAGAAAAATTGCAAAGTAATAGAAAGGGAGAAAACTCAGATTATACTTGATTTAAGTGGCAACTCTATCTGGGGTGGTAATCCAGCTTCAAGAACATCTAGGACAAAGAAGTCACCGGCATCAGTCTCCTTTCCATGTAAACCAACAATAGTCCCTATCAACATGTTAACGTAGAATGAGCATGTGATGCACGAGCCAAGCCAGAAATTAAGATATTAGGGTATTTCTAGTTTCTTATGCAGTTTACACATGTACTGTTCATGTCTTTTAAGTCTCTCTTGTCACAAAATTAATGCATCAAGTGTCATAAATTAGTTTTTAGAATTTCAAACTATATTAATGTGGATCTTTCCATATTCATGTAACAATTAGCCTACAGAAAGGGCTAAATTAAAAAACAAAAAGTGAATAGATACATCTTTGGTGGGAGTGACTCCAATACACCTTTGGTGGGAGTGACTCCAATACACCTTTGGTGGGAGTGACTCCAATACACCTTTGGTGTGATGCCAAAGGCCGGAGTGAGCCTGGATGTCTTCTGTGTTCCTAGCTATTCCTATTGTCCTACATCAGCATGCTTCAAACATATTGATTCATAGTAGAATGTTAAGCAATTTGGACTCTTCCCAGTCAAAATGAAACAGTTCGAATAAATATTTTTCTTTGTTGTAATATTTTAATTTGACACAGACCTGTTACATACACAGAAGGTGAAAGCACATTCCCAGAAAGCTTAACTCTTCCACTTTCATCTTCCAAAATCAGATGGTCATCTGGGTGCACAAAATTATGAGGCTTGACAAGTGGTGTCACAGTTCTCTGTAAAATTTACAATATTATAAACAGTAAATAAGAAAACCTCAGAAATTAATAATTAACATTGCGCAAGTACACTACCGTCTTAGAGTATTCATCAAGAACACAAGGCT